CCCTGGGTAAGAAAACAGTGGATTGATTCTCCCTGGGTAAGAAAACAGTGGATTGATACTCCCTGGGTAAGAAAACAGTGGATTGATTCTCCCTGGGTAAGAAAACAGTGGATTGATTCTCCCTGGGTAAGAAAACAGTGGTTTGATTCTCCCTAGGTAAGAAAACTGAGAATTTATTCTCCTTAGATAATACAATGGTGGATTGATTCTCCCTGGGTAAGAAAACAGTGGATTGATTCTCCCTAGGTAAGAAAACAGTGGATTGATTCTCCCTGGGTAAGAAAACGATTAACAAACCCTTTAACTGTCCTCTGTACTACTTCCACACAAAAGTTTGAAATATCAAACTTTGATTTCACCTTGGATGATGAAATGCCAAGCTTGGCCGCGGGCCACACTCCTCTCCCTCTAATGAGCCGGTTCTCTCTCGGGCTAGGACCTCGATATATGATGTTCACACATCTGTCTAAAGAACATGGGGGCTGCCTTTGAGGAACAAAGCTACTCATCACAGCCAGCGTGAACGTAGATATATCGTCCCTGACACATATAGGGCTTCTGACCTGCCAAACCCTGTGGCTCAGACTGAGTCTGTACCGGAGCTTCTGATTGTGATCGGTGAAGCACAAAATGCACCCGAGCGGTACTCTTCCTGTCAGGGTCAAGAGGGGTAGAGGAGAAGAGGTGGGGGCCACAGGGGTGTGCTCCAAATGGAGGATTCTTAATAGCGAGGATGGGGTATCTACCTGGCCTGGATCACTGGACCGTATAGAGGAGAAGAGACAGCCAGGGTTAGTGCTGTTACTGTTATATTGTATATTCTCCAGGTTGGATTCCCTAACCCCTGGGTAGTCAAAATAACTGGTCTATACTCTACATTCTCCAGAATGGATTCCCTAAGCCCTGGTCCATTCTACCCTGTCCTATGTAGACGTGTGACCCTGGGAAGCACATTAGAAGCCTTGATCCAGGCTTTTTCCAAATCTGACACTGACAGGGAAAGGACAGTACTTTTCCAGGATCATGTAAATAAATGTTACCACTAGAGCGAAAAACTAGTCAACCATGAAGGCATCTTCTCAACAGTTGGTGTCAGCTCTCAGTCTTAATAAAAAGACACCAAGTCCCACGGGCCGTACAGTAGATCGCAGTCTTAATAAAGTGACACATACAATAGATGGAAAGGACTTGTCACAATTATACAATTGATGTCAGTTGATCTGTGCCTGAGAGAGGAACAGCCTATGAATCTGCCTTTTACCATTGTTGGTAGTGCCATAAGTTCACTAACACAGCACTGTGATTTTAAACCCACTTTACTCCTAAAACAACCATAGATGGACAGTCCAATTCATACATTAATTCAAGGACACTCCAACTCTCATTTGAAAAAAAGAACAAACATCCCTGTCCATCCTCCCATAACAGTTGTCACCTCATGTACCTCTTACATGAACATCTTACATTTTTTCTCTGTATGAATCTCGATTTTATTTCCTTGATTCCTTGCGTCCTCTCCTCGCCTCCTTCTCAAAGCGCATTGGAGGAGGTTCCAAGGTACTTCCCGTGATCTACTCCTTCAGTGCATTTTGAGGAAGGTGCGAGGAGAGAGGACAAGAGGACGTGAGGCATCAAGAAAATTACATTGAGATTCTCCCTCTGTCTCTGATGGTTAGCGTGATCCTTCCTCTGACGTGCAGCGGAGCGGAGATTGACATTCTGATTTCTGCCAGAGGACAGAGGCAGCTCGTTGACCCTCTGTGCGATTTGCTTCTTCCCTGAAACGACCTCCAATGGCACCCAATTCCCTACATAGTAAACTATGTTCATATACTGTATACACCCTACGGGCCCTGGTCAAACGTTGTGCACTATATATAATACATAGGGCACCATTTGGGATGCAATCATTTTCAGTCAATACCCAAGCTGCCTGGGCTTTCACACCATTTATCATCGTCTTCATGACACCCACTAGAAAGGTAACGAATACATTTACCGTGAGGGGTAAAGTATTTGATCCCCTGCTGATTTTGTACGTTTACCCACTGACAAAGACATTATAAGTCTATAATTTTAATGGTAGGTTTATTTGAACAGTGAGAGACAGAATAACAACAAAGAAATCCAGAAAAACGCATGTCAAAAAGGTTATAAATTGATTTGCATTTTAATGAGGGAAATAAGTATTTGACCCCTCTGCAAAACATGACTTAGTACTTGGTGGCAAAACCCTTGTTGGCAATCACAGAGGTCAGACGTTTCTTGTAGTTGGCCACCAGGTTTGCACACATCTCAGGAGGGATTTTGTCCCACTCCTCTTTGCAGATCTTCTCCAAGTCATTAAGGTTTCGAGGCTGACGTTTGGCAACTCGAACCTTCAGCTCCCTCCACAGATTTTGTATGGGATTATGGTCTGGAGACTGGCTAGGCCACTCCAGGACGTTAATGTGCTTCTTCTTGAGCCACTCCTTTGTTGCCTTGGCCGTGTGTTTTGGGTAATTATCATGCTGGAATACCCATCCACGACCCATTTTCAATGCCCTGGCTGAGGGAAGGAGGTTCTCACCCAAGATTTGACGGTACATGGCCCCATCCATCGTCCCTTTGATGCGGTGAAGTTGTCCTGTCCCCTTAGCAGAAAAACACTCCTTAGCATAATGTTTCCACCTCCATGTTTGACGGTGGGGATGATGTTCTTGGGGTCATAGGCAGCATTCCTCCTCCTCCAAACACGGCGAGTTGAGTTGATGCCAAAGAGCTCGATTTTGGTCTCATTTGACCACAACACTTTCACCCAGTTCCCCTCTGAATCATTCAGATGTTCATTGGCAAACTTCAGACGGGCCTGTATATGTGCTTTCTTGAGCATGGGGACATTGCGGGCGCTGCAGGATTTCAGTCCTTCACAGCGTTGTGTGTTTCCAATTGTTTTCTTGGTGACTATGGTCCCAGCTGCCTTGAGATCATTGACAAGATCCTCCCGTGTAGTTCTGGGCTGATTCTTCACCGTTCTCATGATCATTGCAGCTCCATGAGGTGAGATCTTGCATGGAGCCCCAGGCCGAGGGAGATTGACAGTTATTTTGTGTTTCTTCCATTTGCGAATAATCGCACCAACTGTTGTCACCTTCTCACCAAGCTGCTTGGCGATGGTCTTGTAGCCCATTCCAGCCTTGTGTAGGTCTACAATCTTGTCCCTGACATCCTTGGAGAGCTATTTGGTCTTGGCCATGGTGGAGAGTTTGGAATCTGACTGATTGATTGCTTCTGTGGATAGGTGTCTTTTATACAGGTAACAAACTGAGATTAGGGGCACTCCCTTTAAGAGTGTGCTCCAAATCTCAGCTCGTTACCTGTATAAAAGACACCTGGGAGCCAGAAATCTTTCTGATTGAGAGGGGGTCAAATACTTATTTCCCTCATTAAAATGCAAATAAATTTATAACATTTTTGACATGCGTTTTCTGGATTAATTTTTTTGTTATTCTGTCTCTCACTGTTCAAAGAAACCTACCATTAAAATTATAGACCGATCATTTCTTTGTCAGTGGGCAAACATACAAAATCAGCAGGGGATCAAATACTTTTTTCCCTCACTGTAGATATATATAATAGGCTCATAGTATATATCAGTATATCATCAACTTCACTTGAGAAATACCTCACTGATATGATCTATTGCATGGATTGAGTGGTGCAGTTAAACGTATATACACTACCGGTCAAAAGTTTTAGAACACCTACTCATTCAAGGGTTTTTTACTCTTTTCTACATTGTAGAATAATAGTGAAGACATCAAAACTATGAAATAACACATATGGAATCACGTAGTAATCATAATATATTTTATATTTGAGATTCTTCAAATAGCCACCCTTTGCCTTAATGACAGCTTTGCACACTCTTGGCATTCTCTCAACCAGCTTCACCTGGAATGCTTTTCCAACAGTCTTGAAGGAGTTCCCACATATGCTGAGCAGTTAAAGGCTGCTTTTCCTTCACTCTGCAGTCCGACTCATCCCAAACCATCTCAATTTGGTTGAGGTCGGGGGATTGTGGAGGCCAGGCCATCTGATGCAGCACTCCATCACTCTCCTTCTTGGTCAAATAGCCCTTGCACAGCCTGGAGGTGTGTTTGGGTCACTGTCCTGTTGAAAAACAAATGATAGTCCCACTAAGCCCAAACCAGATGGGATGGCGTATCGCTGCAGAATGCATTTACATTTACATTTACATTTTAGTCATTTAGCAGACGCTCTTATCCAGAGCGACTTACAGGAGCAATCAGGGTTAAGTGCCTTGCTCAAGGGCACATCGACAGATTTTTCACCTAGTCGGCTTGGGGATTAGAACCAGCGACCTTTCGGTTACTGGCACAACGCTCTTAACCACTAAGCTACCTGCCGACTTATCTGGAGATACTGGTGTAATTTCATGCAAGCAAGTTTTAACAAATCGTGAGTTAAAGGGATACTTCTGGATTTTATCTACTTCCCCAGAGTCCGATGAACTCGTAGATAAAAATTGTATGTCTCTGTCCAGTATGAAGGAAGTTATAGGTAGTTTTGCAAACCAATGCTAACTAGCGTTAGCGCAACGGCTGGAAGTCTATGGGTATGTGCCAGTAAGCTAGCAGATACCCATAGACTTCCAGCCATTGTTCTAACTATCCAAGTAGTAAGTTAACCATGTCAAACTTGACATGCTCTACATACACACAAAGACATACGGCTGCAATACCTTAAAATAAATCCCTCGTCATCGCATTTACCCCTTCCTTTCACAGTTCACTCCCTTTCCTGATGCCATTCTTGACATTGAGCGACTTGACGTGTTGCCATGACCTTATCCCCTGTGGAAACTGTGGCTCCCAGCATGTATGTGTGCAATATTAGCTGATCAGATGAATTTAGTATCACCCTTGCCAACTTGGGACCATTTTACTTAAAACTCCTGGCCTACTTCTACCCCATCAACCCTCCTACACAGGCTTCTCTCAATGGCTGTCATTGGTCAAGTCCTCTGGCCAGTACTGGTCCTGCATGTAGTGGTTTGAGGTGGCGGGGTCTGGGAGAGTGCCTGTGTCTCGGTCCCTCATTCTCTCTTGCATATCCTGTTCCCACTCCCCCTCCACGAGTTTATACAGGTCCAAGGAAGCGAGAGCGTCCTCCACTGAACTGTGGCCCCTCCTTCCAACCTGTATTTTCCTGTTTAGGAGGCTGTTGGCCAGGATCTTGAGTGAGACACAGCGCTTTGTGGGGAAGCCAGCCAGTCGCCTGAGCAGACGCATACCACTTGTGTCCCTGATCATGTGACATGGGTGGGTGAAGTCCAAGGCCTGGAAGTCATTGTACAGAGCGTGACCGATCACCACTTTCCCATCCAGTATTCGTAGTATCTCTGTCCTAGCCTTGGGGAAGGGCAGAGCGTTCTGTAAATGGTGCCTCTGGATGCCACTCCAACGGGTCCTGTAGTCAGTCACAGCCTGGCACGGACGGATGTACTTATCGTACAGTGCTGTGGTAGCCATGCTGGTTAAGTATGCCTTGAATTCTAAATAATTCACAGACAGTGTCACCAGCAAAGCACCCCCACACCATAACACCTCCTCCTCCATGCTTTACGGTGGGAAATACACATGCAGAGATAATCCGTTCACCCACACCGCGTCTCACAAAGACAAGGCGGTTGGAACCAAAAATCTCCAATTTGGACTCCAGACCAAAGGACACATTTCCACCGGTCTAATGTCCATTGCTCGTGTTTCTTGGCCCAAGCAAGTCTCTTCTTATTATTGGTGTCCTTTAGTAGTGGTTTCTTTGCAGCAATTCGACCATGAAGGCCTGATTCACACAGTCTCCTCTGAACAGTTGATGTTGATGTGTCTGTTACTTGAACTCCGTGAAGCATTTATTTGGGCGTCAATTTCTGAGGCTGGTAACTCTAATGAACTTATCCTCTGCAGCAGAGGTAACTCTGGGTCTTCCGTTCCTGTGGCGGTCGTCATGAGAGCCAGTTTCATCATAGCGCTTGATGGTTTTTGCGACTTCACTTAAAAGAAACTTGAAATTTTCCGTATTGACTGACCTTCATATCATAAAGTAACTGATTGGCTCAAACACATTAAGAAGGAAAGAAATTCCACAAATCAACTTTTAAGAGGGCACACCTCTTAATTGAAATGCATTCCAGGTGACTACCACATGAAGCTGGTTGAGAGAATGCCAAGAGTGTGCAAAGCTGTCATCAAAGCAAAGGGTGGCTTATTTGAAGAATCTCAAATATAAAATATATTTTGATTTGTTTAACACTTTTTTGGTTACTACATGATTCCATATGTGTTATTTCATAGTTTTGATGTCTTCACTATTATTCTATAATGTAGAAAATAGCAAAAATAAAGAAAAACCCTTGAATGAGAGGGTGTTCTAAAACTTTTGACTGGTAGTGTATATATTGCATGAATTGTGCCATTAATCAATATCAGGTCAATTACATATAATATAGAAGGCCAGGTTATGTCAGTATCCCACCCACATTGATCCTGTTGAATTCTTATAAACCTAGGCCCATATTCATAGAGTAAGAGTGCTGATCTAGGGTCAGTTTAGACTTTTAAGTCATAATGAATAAGAAGGGGGACCTGATTCTAGATCAGTAATCTAGGACGATTTGTGAATACGGGCCCAGATCTTATTTAAAGATAATTGGCAAACACATACTGAAGTCCAACTTTAACAACAGCTTTGCTGTTCATACATTGATCACATCATTTGTGTATTAGTAAGGCATCTGCCCTCAATGAACCCATTATCACAGAGACACCATTTACCCTGGCACACTGCAGAAGGACTGAATGTTTCGTACTATGATCAATCGTCCATTTCAAGCTCTCACACTGCCTTTCAGTTTTCTGTATGTCCAAGGTTGAGCCGCGTCTCGTCTAATTGGCCACCGAGCTCCGGTTGGCTATATTAAATAATTGGCACCTCTTTTAAGCCTTGTCTTTGAACCAATGGAAATGATCAGCGCAGCGAGTTGAAAGTCGCCTAGTTCATTTCCCGGGATAACCAGGCGTGCAATTAGCATTTGACAAAGATTGGGGAAAATAAATGGCATCCTCCAGCATTTGGAGGCCCATATTTGGAATGGAGCGGGAGAGAAAATGAATTGACTCTGTGGCGTTTTGCTGCTTCAATCGACCCGCGGTTGTCTGACAGTGAGGCGGCCCCTGGTCACGAAGAATCTGGAGGCGAGGTGGACAGCCCATCCCTGGTCACGAGGAATCTGGAGGCGAGGTGGACGGCCCACCCCTGGTCACGAGGAATCTGGAGGCGAGGTGGACAGCCCACCCCTGGTCACAAGGAATCTGGAGGCGAGGTGGACGGCCCATCCCTGGTCACGAGGAATCTGGAGGCGAGGTGGACGGCCCATCCCTGGTCACGAGGAATCTGGAGGCGAGGTGGACGGCCCACCCCTGGTCATAAAGAATCTGGAGGCGAGGTGGACGGCCCATCCCTGGTCACGAGGAATCTGGAGGCGAGGTGGACGGCCCATCCCTGGTCACGAGGAATCTGGAGGCGAGGTGGACGGCCCATCCCTGGTCACGAGGAATCTGGAGGCGAGGTGGACGGCCCATCCCTGGTCACGAGGAATCTGGAGGCGAGGTGGACGGCCCATCCCTGGTCACGAGGAATCTGGAGGCGAGGTGGACGGCCCATCCCTGGTCACGAGGAATCTGGCGGCGAGGTGGACGGCCCACCCCTGGTCATGAGGAATCTGACGGCGAGGCTGACTGCCCACCCCTGGTCACAAGGAATCTGACGGCGAGGCGGACGGCCCATCCCTGGTCTCGAGGAATCTGGCGGCAAAGCGGACGGCCCACCGGAATATGAGATGACAACTTCATTTCGGCGCCACGCTGTCGAACGCCTCCGCTGACATCTCATCACAGCCGTGACGTTTTCAGTTTGCAGCCTGGCCTCCGACCGCGTCTGGAAATAAATCCTCTCCACCAAGTGTTAAAGGAAGGATTGGATATGCAAATCACAGGCCTGCTAAGATGGCCTTCTGCCATGAAGGGAGGAGAGGGGAGTCAGTCCCCAGAACATCCCTTGCTCTAAATATGACAACTCCACTGATACATTAGTCTGAGTTCTAAACAACATGGACACCCATGTGAAAAATGTGACCTTTGACTAAAGACCTCCAGAAGGCCTTTAAATCCTTACAGACAAAAGCAAAGCATGACATACTGTCAAGCGAGACACGATTAGTATTACCAGAGCTCAAACACTCCAACTTATCTTTCCCACAGTTTTACTACTCACTGACGGCCAATTGAGGCTTTGATTTTGAAAAAATATAAATGGGTTTTATTCATCACGTTTTGAATGTGTTAGCATAAGAGTTGAGGGATGGTGCTGGAAAATGGCATGCTTAATACGCCCATTGTCCTTGAGAGGCACTCGATCTTAGTGAACAGTAGGGACATCAATAATGTAGCAGGACAAATGGTATTTCTATTAAAACTAATGTGGCCCTGTGCATATCGGGCCCCGCTATGCACTCTAGGAGCATTACGTTGGCAGAAGGAGCGCTTTCTGAGGGCCCACACACCTTTCACATGCATGCCATCACCATCAGCATCACATCCATAAATGCATGAGACAGGCAATATACTGTATCTCTTTTATCCTTACCTATTCTAAAGTGCAGTTTCCGCTGTAACATACAGGCTAGTCGTGGGTGGGTGTAAGAGAGGTGGTTCAGAACCAGCCTGAGACCTGAAGACTTGCGTTAGCTCCCTGAGCTGATATCTAAGCTTGAGTTCAGTGGGTAAAACAGCCCTTTGGCGAGCAAGAGACTCTTGGTCGGTCACAGGTGCTTGTTCCAGAAAATATTAATGTGAAGAACAACTTGGTAGTTTTCAGGTTCTAGCACCTCAAAACGTTATCCTATTAAAAACCTCTACCCTTACTAGTGCCCTCTGACCAATAATCTTATCAAGGCAGAAACTGCCTCCATTCATCAGTGTGACGTTACCACAAACGCCCGGCTTCAGACACAAACAAAGAAAGCATGAAGCAGGAGGCACTCTCCAGCGCACATGTGCAGATACTTAAAATTACCTACGTGGGTGCTGCTACCGAGGGCAGCCTCTTGCTTTGCGACCTCTCAATAGAGTCTTTGTTTGCGCCACTGTTTATTCTCAGGTCATATCACTGAGTCTGTGCAACAGCTGAACATGTTCCATTCCAAGATCCATGTTTCTATTTCTAGAACACGTGTTTTGGGTAACATGCATGAGATGCCGCATTTGTACATGTTTCAAATGCATAACATGCTCAATACCATCATGTATCAGAGACACTTAAATATTTGCTGTGAGGGTGTATAGGATTAACCCCCCACTCCCCTGAACATTAATTAGCTTTAACAGGTCAGAATCTCTCAAGGACAAGGGCAAGACTGTGTGGCAATGACTGACTTCCCACAATCCATCAGGCTCCTGTCCTTCCTGAGCGATGATGGCGGTCGTTATTTCATCACGCCACAGCCTCTCCTTCACATGTGGTCCTTTAGACAGTTTGTTTCGTTTTAACTGGTAAGTGTAGTGATATTTCTTTATGGCGTTTGGCCAGGGCATGAGCTGATGCAGCACACAAGGAAAGGGGGAGAAAGAGAGAGTGAGAAAGAGAGAAATGGATGCAGCCTTGTGAAGCTCAGCACATGGCAGACACCCTCTCTACTCTCTGAGGCGTGGGGTTCACTCAGGCATACGGAACGTCTCTCTCTCATTAACAATCCATGAACATACATACTCATGCTCACTCACACACACACACACATACACAAATACACAGTCACACACACACACCATAAACACACACCCTGTGTTCACCATGGCAGCACACTCAAGTACTACTCCCCCAGCTCTCACAATATGATCAAACTGGATCAATCCTACGTCATGGATCAGTCCTACGTCATGGATCAGTCCTACGTCATGGATCAGTCCTACGTCATGGATCAGTCTTACATCATTGATCAGTCACCTGTCATGGATCAGTCACCTGTCATGGATCAGTCACCTGTCATGGATCAGTCTTACATCATTGATCAGTCACCTGTCATGGATCAGTCCTACTTCATGGATCAGTCCTACGTCATGGATCAGTTCTACGTCATGGATCAGTCACCTGTCATGGATCAGTCCTACGTCATGGATCAGTCACATGTCATGGATCAGTCCTACATCATGGATCAGTTCTACGTCATGGATCAGTCACCTGTCATGGATCAGTCCTACATCATGGATCAGTCACCTGTCATGGATCAGTCATACGTCATGGATCCGTCACCTGTCATGGATCAGTCTTACATCATGGATCAGTCCTACGTCATGGATCAGTCACCTGTCATGGATCAGTCACCTGTCATGGATCAGTCCTACCTCATGGATCAGTCACCTGTCATGGATCAGTCCTACATCATGGATCAGTCCTACATCATGGATCAGTCACCTGTCATGGATCAGTCTTACATCATGGATCAGTCCTACGTCATGGATCAGTCACCTGTCATGGATCAGTCACCTGTCATGGATCAGTCCTACCTCATGGATCCGTCACCTGTCATGGATCAGTCCTACATCATGGATCAGTCCTACATCATGGATCAGTCACCTGTCATGGATCAGTCCTATATCATGGATCAGTCCTACATCATGGATCAGTCACCTGTCATGGATCAGTCACCTGTCATGGATCAGTCCTACATCATGGATCAGTCACCTGTCATAATGTGGTTGACTACCATCAACAACAGTAGGAAAAGAAGGTCACTTTTAAGCACTTGATGATGACGAGGCCAAAATGATAGCTCCTTAACGACGTGGCTAATATTGTGAGTTATTACACTGCAAAGGAGAGTAGTGTGGGATGATTGACGGGAGAGATTAACGTGACTGGCAGTGGCTACAAACATACCCAGCGGCGTGCCGACGCCACCCACGCACAGGCAGGCATTTCTGTTTACACGTCAGGTTGAATTCACTCAAAGGGCACAGCAGTCAGCTGTTACCACATCACCGGGTTACCTTGCACTCCTAAACTTAGACAGAACAGACCTATAGGTGCTTGTAATGGCAGAACAGACCTATAGGTGTTTGTAATGGCAGAACAGACCTATAGGTGCTTGTAATGACAGAACAGGCCTATAGGTGCTTGTAATGACAGAACAGATCTATAGGTGCTTGTAATGACAGAACAGACCTATAGGTGCTTGTAATGACAGAACAGATCTATAGGTGCTTGTAATGACAGAACAGACCTATACAGTGAGGGAAAAAAGTATTTGATCCCCTGCTGATTTTGTACGTTTGCCCACTGACAAAGACATGATCAGTCTATAATTATAATGGTAGGTTTATTTGAACAGTGAGAGACAGAATAACAACAAAAAAATCCAGAAAAATGCATGTCAAAAATGTTATAAATTGATTTGCATTTTAATGGGGAAATAAGTATTTGACCCCTCTGCAAAACATGACTTAGTACTTGGTGGCAAAACTCTTGTTGGCAATCAGAGGTCAGACGTTTCTTGTAGTTGGCCACCAGGTTTGCACACATCTCAGGAGGGATTTTGTCCCACTCCTCTATGCAGATCTTCTCCAAGTCATTAAGGTTTCGGGGCTGACGTTTGGCAACTCGAACCTTCAGCTCCCTCCACAGATTTTCTATGGGATTAAGGTCTGGAGACTGGCTAGGCCACTCCAGGACCTTAATGTGCTTCTTCTTGAGCCACTCGTTTGTTGCCTTGGCCATGTGTTTTGGGTCATTGTAATCATGGAATACCCATCCACGACCCATTTTCAATGCCCTGGCTGAGGGAAGGAGGTTCTCACCCAAGATTTGACGGTACATGGCCCCGTCCATCGTCCCTTTGATGCGGTGAAGTTGTCCTGACCCCTTAGCAGAAAAACACCCCCAAAGCATAATGTTTCCAGCTCCATGTTTGACGGTGGGGATGGTGTTCTTGGGGTCATAGGCAGCATTCCTCCTCCTCCAAACACGGCGAGTTGAGTTGATGCCAAAGAGCTCCATTTTGGTCTCATCTGACCACAACACTTTCACCCAGTTCTCCTCTGAATCATTCAGATGTTCATTGGCAAACTTCAGACGGGCATGTATATGTGCTTTCTTGAGCAGGGGGACCTTGCGGGCGCTGCAGGATTTCAGTCCTTCACGGCGTAGTGTGTTACCAATTGTTTTCTTGGTGACTATGGTCCCAGCTGCCTTGAGATCACTGACAAGATCCTCCTGTGTAGTTCTGGGCTGATTCCTCACCGTTCTCATGATCATTGCAACTCCACGAGGTGAGATCTTGCATGGAGCCCCAGGCCGAGGGAGATTGACAGTTATTTTGTGTTTCTTCCATTTGCGAATAATCGCACCAACTGTTGTCACCTTCTCACCAAGCTGCTTGGCGATGGTCTTGTAGCCCATTCCAGCCTTGTGTAGGTCTACAATCTTGTTCCTGACATCCTTGGAGAGCTATTTGGTCTTGGCCATGGTGGAGAGTTTGGAATCTGATTGATTGATTGCTTCTGTGGACAGGTGTCTTTTATACAGATAGCAAACTGAGATTAGGAGCATTCCCTTTAAGAGTGTGCCCCTAATCTCAGCTCGTTACCTGTATAAAAGACACCTGGGAGCCAGAAATCTTTCTGATTGACGGGGTCAAATACTTATTTCCCTCATTAAAATGCAAATCAATTTATAACATTTTTGACATGCGTTTTTCTGGATTTTGTTGTTGTTATTCTGTCTCTCACTGTTCAAATAAACCTACCATTAAAATTATAGACTGATCATTTCTTTGTCAGTGGGCAAACGTACAAAATCAGCAGGGGATCAAATACTTTCTTCCCTCACTGTAGGTGCTTGTAATGACAGAACAGACCTATAGGTGCTTGTGATGACAGAACAGGCCTATAGGTGCTTGTAATGGCAGAACAGACCTATAGGTGCTTGTGATGACAGAACAGGCCTATAGGTGCTTGTAATGACAGAACAGACCTATAGGTGCTTGTAATGACAGAACAGACCTATAGGTGCTTGTAATGACAGAACAGACCTATAGGTGCTTGTAATGGCAGAACAGACCTATAGGTGCTTGTAATGGCAGAACAGACCTATAGGTGCTTGTGATGACAGAACAGGCCTATAGAAAGGCACAAAGTGCATATTATGTGCCAGCATTGACACAGGCAGGCTCTCTCTGACACACGTAGCTGTGACAATTCGCCACAGAAAGAAGCAGGCAAACAAAACCTCCTTCATCCACCTAGCTCTTTAGAATATCTTATAGGAGACATTATTAAAAACACATGCATAAAGACAACGCCCTATTGGCCCTCAAAAACATGTAATGCCTTTTATGCATCCAATATGTAAGTACATAAAGGATTATGGAGCGGCGGTGGTGGTGGGGGGTGGGTCATGTTTGACGGTTTCACAGACCGGGCAGCTCTGAATGAAAACAGGAAGAGAGCGAGCATGAGCGAGCGTGTTGCCATGACAACAGGCTGAGCGAGCGCAAGCCTGGGCCGGGGTCGGGAGCATCTCCAGGTGCGCGGCGGGCGGGCGGCAGCGGCAACCCAGACAGTGTGGGTTTAACCTCTTAAGTGGCAGGAAGCAAAGCTTCAGTCTCTGAAGGGATCATGGGAAATGAAAGAAAGCGGAGGAAAGAGTCAGAGTCTGGGCGTCGGAAGGGGAACCTCCGCCTTCGAGTGACTGTATACAGGCACAAACAACATGATAATGATAATGGTTTGTTTTACCATCCCAATCCTGCCACGGCCAACTACAGAGATACAAGAAGAGACAAACAAACCGATTAGCAACACAGGAGAACACACACACACAGACACTGAGCGTAGCTTAAGGGGAGATATGAATGGGTGGTCCTCTGTAGCTCAGCTGGTAGAGCACGGCGCTTGTAACGCCAAGGTAGTGGGTTCAAACCCCGGGACCACCCATACACAAAAAAATAAATTAAAAAAAATGTATGCACGCATGACTGTAAGTCGCTTTGGATAAAAGCGTCTGCTAAATGGCATATTATAATGGGGAGAACAGTATGGATTCATCAATCCGTAGGACATTACATTTACGTCATTTAGCAGACGCTCTTATCCAGAGCGACTTACAGTTAGTAAGTGCATACATTATTTTTTATACTGGCCCCCCGTGGGAATCAAACCCACAACCCAGGCGTTGCAAACGCCATGCTCTACCAACTGAGCTACATCCCTGCCGGCCATTCCCTCCCCTACCCTGGACGACGCTGGGCCAATTGTGCGCCGCCCCATGGGTCTCCCGGTCACGGCCGGCTACGACAGAGCCTGGATTCGAACCAGGATCTCTAGTGGCACAGCTAGCACTGCGATGCAGTGCCTTAGACCACTGCGCCACTCAGGAGGCCTGGGGACACACCCCCCCCCCCCACACACACACAACTGCTGTTATCAGCTAGCATAAGCATTCACAGATGGAGGAGCACATTGACATTCTGAAGCCTGCTATGTGACGTCAGCAGTGGGGAATTTGAAAGAGTTCATTTTAAGGGTTTTCCTCCAATCAGTAATCGGTTTCCAGCACTACCAGAATTCTCTGGGCATTCTAGGGCCAGTTCTAGCTGAACACTGGGCACACAGGCACTAGAACACTGTAATGTCTGTAGAATGATGTCAGAAAAGGAGAAACTCACGTAATGTGCAGCTGTACCTCTTGCCCCTTCATATACAGTACAAACTCATGGTGTGCTTCTCAAATGGCACCTTATTCCCTATATACTGTGGGAATAGGGTGCCAGAGAATAGGCTGCCTTTTGGGATGCAACCATATTCACACGTATCATCAACTGTTGTTATTGTCACCATCACCATCATAACCATGCACCACACTACCCTGTAAACAGAAGCAGCACTGTGCAAAACACATTATACTCCCTACAGCAAATCCCAGACTGAGCTCCTGACTGTGGTGTGGTGGTCTTCCGGTCTGTTTAAGCAGAGGTCCAAGTTGAGGGGCACGGAGGAGGTCAAAGTTGAGGGGCATGGAAGAGGTTAAAGTTGAGGGGCACGGAAGAGGTCAAAGTTGAGGGGCACGGCAGAGGTCAAAGTTGAGGGACACGGCAGAGGTCAAAGTTGAGGGACACGGCAGGGGTCAAAGTTGAGGGGCACGGAAGACTCTAGATGGCGTTGAGAGCACTTCATAATATGACTACCTCAAATGGCAACATCAGTGTTAATTAAAACAATTTGAGATAACTACTCAAGCTTTAGCATTTATGTGTAACAGGAAACATCCAAAGACAGGATAGGGGCTGACCCACAATACAGCTGAACAGGGCCTGTGTTCTCTGACCCATCCTCACATTCATCCGTCATTGCTGAAAGGCATGTGAGATGTGGGGATTTGTTCCCTCTGTTAAGTGTTTGCTATAGACATACCCTCTTGTCTTGGTGCTAGTCAGTGCTAGTAGGAAAAGCCAAGTGCATTTTTCACTGTCTGATCCGTGGGATTTATTTAAGATAATGCCTACTGGCATCAGTAGTTCTCTGGTATAACAGTGACTGAGTGGACGGCGGTGGCGGCTGGAGTTGCAGCAACGCCAACCAGCCATCTAATTTCCAAGGGAACAAGTCCCCATTATTCTACTTTAACACCTTGTCAAGGGAGGATTAGGAGCCTGTGGGTTCTCTAGCACATGCCGTCTGGGGAGGTGAGAGATCTCAGCCTCGCAGCGCTCAGGGGGGGAAGTAAAGCCCAGGAGCCCAGGAATAACATGAGAGAGGGGCTTAGGCATCAAAGTGAAGCAGTCAGGCAGCCTCCTCCACCACACTGAGACAAGAGATTACCATGAGCATCATCAGAGGACCATGGGGGAGTGACCTCTATGAACGCAATTACAGAAATACTGTAGTTGAAGACTGAGTGGGGACTTTGATTGTCATTTCTTCTCCGTGTCACTCCGTTCTGACTCCTGAAGTGTGTGTGTGTGTGTGTGTGTGTGTGTGTGTGTGTGTGTGTGTGTGTGTGTGTGTGTGTGTGTGTGTGTGTGTGTGTGTGTGTGTGTGTGTGTGTGTGTGTGTGTGTGTATGTGTGCGTGCGTGCGTGTGTGTGTGTGCCTGCTAAAAGTTCCCTAGGTATTGACTGACTGACTGGGAGAAGGCGAGGGGCAAGGTCAAAGACCACACCTCCCTTCCCCCTCGCCAGTTCGTAAAAAATTTAGATTGCGGGCAGACAGAACCTCGGATTAGACGGTTGGGGAAACAATTAATTATTCACTGGATCAATGGTCCAGACGTTTTATCTCCTTGTGTGGTGCGCTCTATACTCCTGGTGTGGGATCAAAGCCAGCTATCTAATGGAGACTTTGTTTAACAAGTTATGTCAAGGTGCAGGAGAGAGAGGGGGATCAAATAAATAAATAACATTGTTATTGATTGTATATAATTGACCATATGAGCGGCCAGGTCCTGCTTTCATGAAGCGTCTCAGAGTAGGCGTGCTGATCAAATCAAATCAAATTGTATTTATCACATGCGCCGATTTACAACTGGTGTAGACTTTACAGTGAAATGCTTGCTTACGAACCTCTCCCAACGATGCAGAGTTTAAAAACAATAATTCAAAATAAAATATTAACTAACACAAGAGGAATAAAATAAAATACACAAGAATGGAGCTATATACAGGGAGTACCAGTACCAGATCAATGTGGAGCTATATACAGGGAGTACCAGTACCAGATCAATGTGGAGCTATATACAGGGAGTACCAGTACCAGATCAATGTGGAGCTATATACAGGAAATACCAGTACCAGATCAATGTGGAGCTATATACAGGGAGTACCAGTACCAGATCAATGTGGAGCTATATACAGGGAGTACCAGTACCAGATCAATGTGGAGCTATATACAGGGAGTACCAGTACCAGATCAATGTGGAGCTATATACAGGGAGTACCAGTACCAGATCAATGTGGAGCTATATACAGGGAGTACCAGTACCAGATCAATGTGGAGCTATATACAGGGAGTACCAGTACCAGATCAATGTGCAGAGGTACGAGGTATTTGAGGTAGATATGTACATGAAGGCAGGGTAAAGTGACTAGGCATCAGGATCGATAATAATAAGGTATTTGAGGTAGATACAGTGGGGGAAAAAAGTATTTAGTCAGCCACCAATTGTGCAAGTTCTCCCACTTAAAAAGATGAGAGAGGCCTGTAATTTTCATCATAGGTACACGTCAACTATGACAGAAAAATTGAGAAGAAAAAAATCCAGAAAATCACATTGTAGGATTTTTAATGAATTTATTTGCAAATTATGGTGGAAAATAAGTATTTGGTCACCTACAAACAAGCAAGTTGTCTGGCTCTCACAGACCTGTAACTTCTTCTTTAAGAGGCTCCTCTGTCCTCCACTCGTTACCTGTATTAATGGCACCTGTTTGAACTTGTTATCAGTATAAAAGACACCTGTCCACAACCTCAAACAGTCACACTCCAAACTCCACTATGGCCAAGACCAAAGAGCTGTCAAAGGACACCAGAAACAAAATTGTAGACCTGCACCAGGCTGGGAAGACTGAATCTGCAATAGGTAAGCAGCTTGGTTTGAAGAAATCAACTGTGGGAGCAATTATTAGGAAATGGAAGACATACAAGACCACTGATAATCTCCCTCGATCTGGGGCTCCACGCAAGATCTCACCCCGTGGGGTCAAAATGATCACAAGAACGGTGAGCAAAAATCCCAGAACCACACGGGGGGACCTAGTGAATGACCTGCAGAGAGCTGGGACCAAAGTAACAAAGCCTACCATCAGTAGCACACTACGCCACCAGGGACTCAAATCCTGCAGTGCCAGACGTGTCCCCCTGCTTAAGCCAGTACATGTCCAGGCCCGTCTGAAGTTTGCTAGAGTGCATTTGGATGATCCAGAAGAGGATTGGGAGAATGTCATATGGTCAGATGAAACCAAAATATAACTTTTTGGTAAAAACTCAACTCGTCGTGTTTGGAGGACAAAGAATGCTGAGTTGCATCCAAAGAACACCATACCTACTGTGAAGCATGGGGGTGGAAACATCATGCTTTGGGGCTGTTTTTCTGCAAAGGGACCAGGACGACTGATCCGTGTAAAGGAAAGAATGAATGGGGCCATGTATCGTGAGATTTTGAGTGAAAACCTCCTTCCATCAGCAAGGGCATTGAAGATGAAACGTGGCTGGGTCTTTCAGCATGACAATGATCCCAAACCCACCGCCCGGGCAACGAAGGAGTGGCTTCGTAAGAAGCATTTCAAGGTCCAGGAGTGGCCTAGCCAGTCTCCAGATCTCAACCCCATAGAAAATCTTTGGAGGGAGTTGAAAGTCCGTGTTGCCCAGCGACAGCCCCAAAACATCACTGCTCTAGAGGAGATCTGCATGGAGGAATGGGCCAAAATACCAGCAACAGTGTGTGAAAACCTTGTGAAGACTTACAGAAAATGTTTGACCTGTGTCATTGCCAACAAAGGGTATATAACAAAGTATTGAGAAACTTTTGTTATTGACCAAATACTTATTTTCCATCATAATTTGCAAATAAATTCATTAAAAATCCTACAATGTGATTTTCTGGATTTTTTTTCCTCATTTTGTCCGTCATAGTTGACGTGTACCTATGATGAAAATTACAGGCCTCTCTCATCTTTTTAAGTGGGAGAACTTGCACAATTGGTGGCTGACTAAATACTTTTTTTCCCCACTGTATGTACATGAAGGCAAGGTAAAGTGACTAGGTAAAGTGCAAGATAGGTGCAAGATAAAGTCAGTGCAGATAGTTCGGTTACCATTAATTTACTATTTAGCAATCTGGCTATTTAGCAGTCTTATGGCTTTGGGGTAGAAGCTGTCTCTGAGCCTGTTTGTCCGAGAGCCAATGCTCCGGTACCGTTAGCCGGACAGTACCAGAGTGAACAGTCTATGGCTTGGGAGTCTTTGGCAATTTTTCGGGCCTTTCTCTGACACCGCCTGATATAGAGGTCCTGGATGGCAGGGAGCTCGGCCCCAGTGATGTATTGGGCTGTCCGCACCACCCTTTGTAGCACTTTGCGGTCAAGGGCGGTGCAATTGCCATACCAAGCGGTGATGCAGCCAGTCAAGATGCTCTCGATGATGCAGCTGTATGCCCTCTTCACAACTGTACGGGTGTGTGTGGACCATGTTAAGTCCTTAGTGATGTGGACGCCAAGGAAGTTGAAGCTCTCGAGACGTCCCACAACAGCCCCGTCGATGTGGATGTGGGCGTGCTCTCCCCTCTTTCTTCTATAGTCCACGATCAGCTCCTTGGTCTTACTGACGTTGAGGGAGAGGTTATTGTCCTGGCACCATACTGCTAAGTCTCTGACCTCCTCCCTGTAGGCTGACTCATCGCCATCAGTGATCAGGCCTACCACCGTCGTGTCGTCAGCAAACTTGATGATGGTGTTGGAGTCGTACGCGGCCACACAGTCGTGGGTAAACAGGGAGTATAGGAGGGGACTAAGCACACACCTCTGAGGGGCCCCTGTGTTGAGGGTCAGAGTGGAGTAGGTGTTGTTGCCTACCCTCACCACCTGGGGCCGGCCCGTCAGGAAGTCCAGGAACCAGTTGCAGAGGGAGGGGTTCAGTCCCAGGGGCCCTAGCTTGGTGATGAGCTTGGAGGGCACTATGGTGTTGAACACTGAGCTGTAGTCTATGAACAGCATTCTCACATAGTTATTTCCCCTTTTGTCCAGGTGGGAGAGGGTAGTGTGAAGTGCAATTGAGATTTTGTCATCTGTGGATCTTTTGGGGCGGTCTGCGAATTGGAGTGGGTCTAGGGTGTCTGGGAGGATGGTGTTGATGTGTCTCATGACCAGCCATTCAAAACACTTCATAATTACAGATGTGAGTGCTACAGGGCGATAGTAATTTAGGCAGGTTACCTTGGAGATCTTGGGAACAGGGACAATGGTGGTCATCTTAAAACATGTTGGGATTACAGACTGGGACAAGGAGGGATTGAAAATGTCTGTGAAGACACCTGCCAGCTGGTCTGTGCATGCTTTGAGAACGCGCCCTGGTATTCCATCTGGCCCGCGGCCTTGTGATTGTTAACCTGTTTAAACGTTTTGCTCACATCGGCCACTGAGAGCGAGATCACACAGTGTTATATTCCTCGAAGCAAGCATAAAGGGCATTTAGCTCATTTGGGAGTTCTGCATCGCTGGGCAGCTCATAGCTGAGTTTCCCTTTGTAATCCGTTATTGTCTACAAACCCTGCCACATACGACGAGCATCGTAGCCGGTGTAATAGGATTCCACCTTCCTCCTAAATTGTCCTTTTGCATGTTTGATGTCTCGTCGGAGGTTGTAGCGGGATTTATTGTATGCGTCCATGTCCATGTCCATGTTCCATTGTAAGTGGTAGCGCTAGGCTTTAGCCCAGCGCGGATTTAGGATCAGTTGTGCCTTTTATATCATAATGGAAACATATTACATGGGCAGTGGGGATCTGATCCTAGATCAGCACTCCGAGTGACAAGCTTTGTGGATACGGGCCCTGGCTTCATTATTCTATCCAGCTCAAGACAGACCTGTCTGTTTCAAGGCACTGTCAACAGTACAGTCTCCCCAGGGAGATGCTATTAATTGGCCTCCTGCTAGTGAGAGATGAGATGGGTATAAACAAGACCGTTTAGGCAGGAGGAAGATGAGACAGGAGGTCATTTTAGTCTCCTAAAATAATGGGGTGCACACTGTGACGCACACTGTGACATGACAGCGGCCAAGAGCCTCTGGTGCGCTGACTCCATAGCCAGCCGGCCAATGAGATGGTTATCTACTGCCCATTGAGCAAAACAACTGCAGGCCAGTAAACACTAGTCCTGCACTGGTCAGGTGAGCATACAGTTGGCATGGATAAGGTGTGGACTGATAGGTACAAGGCTCACCCTAACATTTCAGTGAGAGAAGACACATTTGCCAGGAGTCCAATTAACAAATGATTGACAGCAACCTATAGAATTCGACTTAAATCAACAAGAAATAACTGATAGATAACAAAGTATGCAAAAGAGCCAATTGTAAGTGACAGTTAGTCTAACGCCCTCTGCGTTAGGTAAATATTCTGAAATACTTTCTCACGCAGGCTATTAATATGGGGCGCACATCTCACTCCAACATGTAAAATTGCCCAAGAGCATTTCAATCAAAGCAATCAATTCATGTTTTAGTGTTTACATTGTTACAATGATCGAATTTCGGCTCATGTCCTGACCATTGCTGTAACCATTTAAAATGAATTGATATTTTAAACGTACATTTTGAAATTAATTAATCATTTTAAATAAATAACTGCCCGAATCTTGTGCGTAAAAGTAGGCTTAAGGCCAAATACGTAATGTTTCTGGTATAGGTTTACAGATAAATGGTACAATTTGGGAATGTGGTGGTGTGTCTAACCACAGGTTCTACAACAGCCTATTTCTGTTGAGCGATGGACCATTCCATCACCCCTCTATCATACGTCACGTTCAATATCAAACAAACCCAACTGACAGAAGAAAGAAAACAAGTTTGGTGGTATCAAAAACAGAAATCTAATTCGTGAAATATTTCCACTTGTTTCTCATTATCTTGGATAGGTAGTGTAGCTTAATTTAAATCTGTATTTACGCACCACAATTATGTTTAAATGCATACCTGTGTAAAACGATCGAGAAAAAGAGAAAAACGATCGAGTTTAATTATTTCAACTATATTTAAGTCTAAAAGGTGATTAAGAAAACAGTTGAATCTTCTTTGATGCACACTGAAATGTGAATAAGCAGACAACTTATGTCCCTTACATCGAATTGAAAATGTTAATAATATATAATGTATGTTATATTTGTGTAATAATTTTTATTTGATTAGAAGGAATCTGTGCAACAAAAAAAAGGATCGGGGAAACTTACATTTTACATTTTAGTCATTTAGCAGACGCTCTTATCCAGAGCGACTTAGAGTTAGTGAGTACATACATTTTTCATACTGGCCCCCCATGGGAATCGAACCCACAACCCTGGTGTTGCAAGCGCCATGCTCTACCAACTGAGCTACAGGAGGCTTAACTTGTTGTGCTTGGACTGTTATCTGATCTCTCCACACAAGCGCGCGCTCTTACCCTTGCCGCTCTGGAAGAATAGGGATCCTCAAATAGATTCCAAATCACAGGTCTCCACTTTTTCCAGCGGCTGATATTAGGATCAATCACGTCCTCAATGCCGAGTCTTTTCCCCGTCTCTTCGTCCTCGTCTCCATTGTCAACGTTTATGTCGAACACATCGAGCGCCTCCTCCGCGTCCCTGTGCTGGCGATAGGTCATCCAGCAGCAAGGCTCCACGTCCGTCTCATCGATTCCCCAGAAGGACAGCTCTTCCTCGAACAGCGGACCACAAACATCTGCCGGGCAATGGAGTTTCCCGGTTCGATAGTAGTTAAGGACATAGGCGAATACCCCTGGGTGGCGGTCAAAAAAGTATTCGTTGTTCCGCGTGTTGTACTCTAAGAAGCCGGGGACTTGTTGCAGCTGATCCAAAACGGACTCGATGTCTGAGTCGGAGGCAAGAAGGGCCAGCCGAGTCCCCGGCAGTGTCCTCAGCGTGTTCTTGTACGTCTCGTGCCGGGTTCCCCCAACGTTGAGGATTATCCTCTCGTTCTCGTCGAACTTACCCATCGCTCTGTATAAGACATGACTTGATAAAGAAGGTATATCGAGTGCAGTCCAGAGTAACAGCGGGCACGGTGCTGCACACACCCAGTTGGGCTAGAAAATCTCACGAAAGTCCTTTTGGATTCAGCTGAGCGCAGCCACTCCAAATTCAGCCTGGAGCTCTCATTACGCTTGGTGAAAGTGCCTTGCCAATCGCATCTTTGTTGGTGATTTGGAATAGAGGATCTTATCGCTTGTCAGACTCCCTCTAGTTCCTCCTTGTGCGAGGGATCTGTCAGCCAGTAGCTCCAAGCAGCGCTGGTGATGTGTGCCTAGGGTTGTCTTTACTCTCGTCTCCGCTCAACACTTGGACAGGTGAAGTCAAACGAAACTGCCATTCCAATTATTGATTTGTAACCTTGAGCGCTGTCCCCTTTTTGTTAACGTCACGACAATGCCGTGGTGAATAGCAAGCAAGCAAACCTGAATCTGGTTCTCTCCGAAATGTGCGTCTTTGACGAGAAACGATGTCAAGGGCACACCCTCTCCTTTTCTGCGTGTGCGTCTGTGTTACAAGCAATCCTCTCACACGTGCTCATGTTGCTATGTAGCGAAGATAACTCATTACATTTGGATTGACAATCAAAATAGTTTAAATCTATGCCAACGAATATCTAGTGCAACTTTTTTCAGCTTTTATGATTCGCCGAAATAAGTTTGAACATGAGTGTTCTCAACAGATCAGATTGCTTGACTGAGAAATGTGTCTCATTTGCATCACTTTCTATTTTGATCACAGAGTGTGGTCCTCTTTTTCACAGTGGAATTATTTATAGGAATTCTCTTCGATCTGGTTTCACACTGACGTGAGATGCGCTTAAGTAACCAGTATCCGCGCCAAAGCGAGGGAGCTGTCCTTTCAGCACCTTACATCTGTGACATCCGCAACCGCAGGAAAATAGTTAAACTTTCGGCTCCATTTGGTTCTATTTCGACATGTTGATATAACCTACATGGTATGCTGAGAGGTTTAATGTGAGCGACATAGGCTATCAATTACATTCTCATAATAACTCGTGAATCTGACCACTTGCCAAGAGCAAAACAGAACGGGCCAGGTCAGTGTGTCTCTCTCTCTGGTTAACTTGTTTTTTCACAATCATGCCCTATAATTGCTCAACTAAATATAGTATAATAGAATACGAAATAGTTCAAATAGATAGGCCACAATACACTCTTAGAAAAAAAGGTTCTGGGTAGAACGAAAAAGTGTTATTTTGCTTGCTTCATATATGACACCCACTAAAGGTTCTATATAGAACCCCTTTGTAGGGTTATTTGATCAGAACCCCAGGGGTTCTTCTTCACTGAACCAAAATTGGTTCCAAATAGAACTCTTGGGTTCCATATAGGGTTCTATTTGGAACCAATTACGGTTCTATGTAGAACGTTAGGTGGTGCCATATATGAAGCAAGCATAGAACCCTTTTTGGTTCTATCCAGAACCATTTTTTTCAGAGTGTTACATAACTCCTAGGCCTATTTCCTAACGCAATATCTATAGACCTAGGCTACTAAAGTGCTGGGAATTAGCCAACCGGTAAAATAAACAAAATAAAGACATTATGAAATCAGTGCACTCAACCCTAAAAATATCTTTGAATGTCTACACTTGGTTGGGTGGCACTAGAGAGCGAGTCTCCTTTTGAAATGTTCAGCGCAGCTCAATCAACGGGATGAGGCCTTGAGAGGAGGAGGATAGCTATAATTACGCGCATCATATTCCCTGATGTACATGCAATAAAAACGTGCCACGCTCTGATTGAACAGTAATTAATACACATTTCTCATCAGCAAAGGGGGAAAACTCCACTCCCATTCAAAGTTTATTTGTTTAAAAAATAAAAATAATTACAATTTACAAACCGTAGCCAATGAGAAGATAGGTTACAGCCTAAATATAAAATTGGCCTGTAAATAGAAAGGAGAAAGAAACTAGGATTTTTCTCAAAATGGCTTTCTAAGGGGGCAAAACAGAAGCCTCAATCTGTTAGATGGATCTGATCAGAGCAATTTAACCATCTGTATCATTGCGCGTTTTATTGAATACTATTGGGAGCCATTCATCATGCAACATTATGGCCTTCAGCGCATGTGGACTGAAAGGTTATTTCCTAATAAACAGCCCACTGTGGACAGATGTCAATTCAACGTCTAATCCACGTTGGTTCAATGTAATTTAATTTAAATGACGTGGAAACAACGTTGATTCAACCAGGGTGTGCCCAGTGGGAGGTACTCTTGCACATGACTGATACAAGAACCAACCAACCACCAGCACCTATCTATTTCCCCCCTCTCCCACAGCCCTTTACTAAAAATAGAACAGCCAGACTGCCAGAGAGCTGATCTTTATCGGGAAGTGAAAGGTAAAAAAGAAGGCTCAGAGAGCCAAGGTGGTTCCTAGGCTGCCCATATAGCCATGTAGACCTGCAGGGCCATTTCTCCAGGGAGAGGTCTTGCAGCCTGGGTTTGAATGCATTTGTGCAAGTCCAATTTTTACACAATAATTTGTTCATATTTTAAGCCATAGCCTACCCCAGAGGCACATTTAGGTGCAGAAGGCACAATGTCCAAACTCTCTAAATATATGGCTCTGGTCTACCCACCCTTTCTGTCTAGCAGGCCTAATATCTATATCATGGATATATTTTGTCTGAATCAACTACAACTTACGCAGCTAATATAAACAATATAATGAAAATCTTTCAGAATGATTACATTTTCATAAAACTACAGAGTAGAGACATTTCCCCAAAATACCCTTCAACTAGCTTAGCTTAATGACTAATGTTTGACCTTCCATTGTGTGGCACTACTCACAGCTGATCTTACACAGTTCAGACAAATTAATATTTTCAGAGCAAATCAACTAAGACAAATTCAAATGGCACTAGTTTGAATGTGTCAAATCAGGCCTGATACAAAAACATAACAGATAGCAGCACTTAGCTAACATTTAACATGGAGCTATGGCAACAAGAGACTTTCTTCAAGAGCAAGGAGCCATAGTATTGTAGCGAACGGCGGGGCAGGGAAGCGAACCCGGGTCGCTGGTGTGAAAAGCAAACACTCATTGCGCCAAAAGGGTTAAGCCACTTGGTGGGAATTGTGACATGGCTCACACATAGCGAGGATCGCTACACTGCCCCCTCCCAATGGGAAGGCACCTCCCTGTGCTTCGACTACTCAGCCACCTCACATGTCCGGGCCGTGCGTTCCAATGTCTTCAAAGTCACCATCCCACTTCTGACACCAGTGTAGCAAACTGCAGGGCAGGGAAGCGATCCCATGTCGCTGGCTTGAAAGGCAAACACCCTACACATCGCACCGACAGGGTTAACCCACTTGGTGGGAATTGTATCGTGGCTCATGTACAGTATAAGGATTGCTAGTATGTTTTGTTCACTGTAAGCTACTCTCATTTGACCGAAGACATGACTATAGTCAGGAAACTAAAAGGTTTTCATGGACATTAGCCTAATCAAAAAAATGAATTTTGTGCAAAAGAGTTTGACAAGTTTGGCTCTGAGGATGAAAACGAAAGATAATTGGTTACAATTGTGATAGAGAAGGCTGTTAAGAAGCCATTCATTATATACAAAGTCCTGAGAGCTTGCTGAATTGACACAGCCTTGCCAATATGAAGCCTTTTCAAACATCAGCTAACACTTTCACAGCACTATGAGAAAGTGACCTTGTGAAGGCTGAGATGCAGTGTTCCTGAACACACACCCTCATTGCCGTCATTTCAGCATGAACTTTTTGTGCCGTCCTGTTCGGCCTATCCTAATTTTATCCCAGATCATGAGCTCTCCCTGCTCGCTCTCTCTCTCCCAGTAGACTAGCTTGCTGACATTTAAGATGTCCAATGACCAAGCATCTACAATTCTCTGTTCGTCCTCCAGGATAAAGGTGGAGAGAGGACACAAAGAATCAAGGACAGACTACATTGCAAACTAGTCCAAGACAATACCCTGGCAGGCAATGGGCGTCTTTAGACCACACAGAGCTTCAGCAAACACCATGTGCTGGTTTCCAGGATACAGATTAAGCCTTGTCCTGGACTAAAAACATGGTCAATTGAGAATCTCCATGAAAATTGGTTAGTCCAGGACAAGGCTTAATCTGTCTGGGAAACCCTTTGAGAAACTTTCCTTTCAGGACTTTACTCGGTGTCAGGGGTCCTAGACTACAGGTTAAGTGTAAATTGGCAGCAAAAACAAAGGAATAATGATTACAAGTTGCGTACCCACAGGACCACTGGACGTCAGACTAAACAACTGGTGTCTGTTTTCTATGCGTCTAATTAATATGAGAGCAACTACCTCATCCCCATATTGTTTTTTATTTTGCTCATTTGCACCCCAGTATCTCTATTTGCACATCATCTTTTGCACATCTATCATTCCAGTGTTAATACGAAATTGTAACTATTTTGCACTATGGCCTATTTATTGCCTTACCTCCATAACTTACTACATTCGCACGCACTGTATATATATTTTCTGTTTGTATTTTTACTTTATGTTTTGTTTACCCCATATGTAACTCTGTGTTGTTGTTTTTATCGCACTGCTTTGCTTTATCTTGGCCAGGTCGCAGTTGTAAATGAGAACTTGTTCTCAACTGGCTTACCTGGTTAAATAAAGGTGAAATAAAAAAATAAAAAAAAATAAAAAACTGTACCTAAACAGATAGTTCACTCAAAATGCATCAACATCTAATTTCTGTACTGAAAGTGCTCCATCTTGAAAACTTGACTACTGACATGCAAAAATGTTTGGGATCATATTAACAGTGGACTTACAGACAAAAAATACTAAGACAGTTTTTGAGTGAACCATCACATTACATTTCTGGACACAACCCAAATTAGTAAGGGTTTAGGTATAGTTTGCTTCCATTTGGTGACATAGCCTTTCTTCTGCCACTATTAGGCTGAGTTTACACAGGCAGCCCAA